TTGCTGAGTCTAATAAGCCATATGTGAGATTTCAGGCAAGAGAAACAGACTTGTTTGTATTTCCAGTGCCACAATTATTTTAACTGTTTTTCTGTGCAAGTGTGGCAAGTGACAGAGCTGAAAAATGCAGAGTCCCTCACTATTCAAGAAAAGCCTTTGCCATTTTCTTCATATCCTCCTGTTTCAAGTTATGTGAGTAAACTTCTGTATACCTTTGAAGGGACTGATAGGAATAATCTTTGCCTAGGAAATCAAGATTGTGTGATGCTTTTATCTTCACCCTAAGATTTGCAGGATGTGGCTGGCTGCTTGAACCTGATTTTTAGCTTGTGGCAAGACACAAGGCCAAAGTAAATGAAGAACCTTTGAAAGAAAACCTTTCACCTTTGAAAAGAAATTAATGGAGAGGCTCACAATTCTTTCACACTGTGTGAGCAAAGTGTTTCTGTAATGTGCTTCCCAATTCTTTCACTTCTAAAGCTGCAAGAATTTTTCCTTCTCAAAAGTGGAAGTGGAGTCCTTAAAATTGTGTTAGTCTGTGCTGCATAATCTATTCTTCAACCACGTGCTCTGATAGTCTAATTTAGTAATTTGAAATCATGTAAGCAAAACTTTGCTCTGTCACTGCAAAGAGTTTCTTTATCCATTGATTTGGAATGTTGTGAAAAAATTTTCTGTCCTTTGTATTGTGTTGCATCTTGCTTTAGGGCAAGGACAAGGAAGGATCTCTTCCTGCAGGTTCTTTTTGCTTCCTTAAGAGTGGTAACGTAAACCACTGCTATTTTCACGTAGCTTGTCTATGAAGTGCAATATTAAAGCTGGGTTTTGGTGGATGAGTGAAATAAGTTACAGTCTTATGAAAGACAACTCTATTGTTGTAAAGTTAAAACTTTCCCTCTTCATTGTTTTGCTGACACAGTATAGGCATAGTTCTTAGAAAATGAAATTTTAAACTGACCATGTTGTACTTAGGATTTTTTAAAACATAGTAGGCTGTCTCAAAACTGCACTAGATTTTTTAAAAAAATACTTTTAAAGTGAGTACAGCAGTATATAAACCTTCAGAGTGTGATTGGAGTCACTTTCTTAAAAACATTCAAGAGCTGTTTAGTCTTCGGAATATTGCCCAAGTGTTTAATGTGCTTAACAAAAAAAGGTCTCATGAAGAATTTTCCATATGTAATATGTACTAAGACTGTCTCCTGTAGAAGAAAGCCTAGATTCTTTGGTGAGTGCGGGAAGCTGTTACCTCTCTACTGTTCCTTTCATATCTTTGTGGTACAAGTCCTGGTGGGGAGGATTTGCTTAAGCTGGGATGGCTGTTGAAGAAATGCATACGTAGTGACGTTTTGAGAAGGAACATGTACCACTGAGTTGACCTGAAAGGGGTGTGTAGGCAGGATGTCGCAGCTGAGCGGATATTGTGGTAGAAGTAGGTGTGCTCTTCAGTGTTGGTGTTCCATGTGCTCCTTCAGTTGGGCTACTTTTTGATTTAGATATTATCAGATCTAAAAAACTTGTGTACTTATGAAATATTAAGAATTTGTAATTATTTTAATTGAGAAGAGACTCTGCATGGAGAAGAAAGGGAAAGGATAGGGAAGTGGGCACATTGGTTGGTAGGGGTCTGCGGATGTGTATGAGTGGAAAGAGATGTAAAACACAAGTTGCTTGTAACATGACAGAGTACTTTTGTTTTTGACTTTACTGCCTTTCTTTACTTCAGTGCCCTGAATGAAAGAATATTCTTTTTTTAGCTGCAGTTCACTGAGTGTGTGTGGGTTTGAGGAGAGGTGAATGTGCACCTGAGGGGGGGAAAAAACCAAATAACCCCCCCAAAAACCCAAACCACCAATAAACAACCCCAAAACTCTGAACAAAGAAGTTCCAGTTAAAACACTTTTCATGTTAATCATGAAATTTTAACTGCTCATGGGTATTCTTATTAATACAATAATCTTAAAATTGGTTTTCTACATACAGTGTTGTTCTGAAATTTTTTGCAGGCAAAAGAATACCATGTTTTTCCTCTCTCAAACAAAGAGGAAGTCCTGTTTCCTTGCATGTGCTGATTTTATTCCAGTTGTTGATTTGGATGTTAAGTTAGTTGTTGACTTGGAGTAAAATTACTAGATTTACTGGACATTTGTTAGTGAGATAAGGTGTACCTTTCAAGCTAAGGTCATCACACTAAACCATGTCAAGACATGCGAGATGTTTGTGAAAGTGAAGTAGCAGCAAAGAAGCAGCCGAGAAAATTCCATGTAGCCTTATCCCTGTTCTCTGATGCTCTTTCCTGCAGCCCTTTCCCCAATTTCTCTTTTCTGGCATTTGTGTTGGGTGGGAGGAGCAGGATGTAAAGAGGGTGTCCCAAAGCTGCAGTTTAAATAAGGGGTGTGCTCTGTTTCTATCTTGGGTGCAGATGTGTTTGGGGAATGATGAGCAGCAGCCAGGTGGGCTTGGGTACCAGCTTCTGTGTATCTTCTGCCTGCCCTCTTCCTCCCCCTGCCCCAACTCAGCTGAATTGGTTGGAAGAGCAACTGTTATTGCTGCATCATCCTGACAAGCAGGACTGTGCTTCCCCTTCCTGAAGGAACCGAAGTGCACTGGTGAAGGGAAGACAATCATGGCAATGGCCTGTGCAGGGTGAGAGTGAGGGGAAAAAAATCTGGCTTTTGTAGGGATTCATGTCAGCAAGGCAGTAGTACATGGACCTCAGGGATGACCACTAGCACTTTGTGCATAGGGCCTTTCAGTAGAGTTAGGACTAGCTTCAAGGAAAGAGCTAGATATTGAAGGGAGCTGGGAACACTTGTTGGAATTGAAGCATAAGGAGTGTGAGAGAGTAGGCTGCATGAGATTTTTAACTAACTTGCTTGTAACCTGGAATACCCATGGTATTTTTTTGAGGTATGGTAATATTCAGACTGTCACAGTTGGGAAACAGATGAGATTTTAGATGTTACAGGGATTTAGGACAGGCCATATTAAAAGAGTATGTGTGTATGTTTCTATATGTCTACTTATAGACATGTATACATATGTAACCATGTTCTCCCATTCCAAATAGAAACAGCAAAGACTTTGTGCCCTTGGCATCTGCAGCTTTCAGAGGCGTGCTGGGGGACTGCCAACGTTGCAATTTAAAAATACTTAGCTTACTCCTAAGTACAAACAAAAGCGTGGTAGATGTCTTTTCACCTCTCCAAATGACAGAAAAACAGAAATATAGGCTGCTGGAGATGAAGATATTCAGTATCTTTGTGGAAAAGGTCAGAGGCAAATGAAAATGTGAGGTTCTTTGTTCTAAGATATGTATGAGGAACCTTAAGATTAAAGCAGTTTTCAGCTCAAGCAGTTTTCTTTACCCCAGGTCACTTGTTTTCATGCCTCTCCCCGTTTTTGCACCAGCACAACTGTTTGCAGCTGTGTGATGAACTGGATAAGTGAATTGACCTACTTTAAGTTACTTAAGTCTCTCTTGATCTGATTTAGACAGTGTGGAGACTGAATGTCTAACCATAACCAGAGGAAGAAATTGTATCAGGACAGTACCTCTCACCCTGTGAAAGGTGCACCACCAAAGCACGTGTGGAACAAAGCATTTCTGTCCCTCAAACAAATAACCAAGTTATTTACTGTTATGAGGTATCGAAAGATGTCATGATTGAAAGGAGACAGAGTCTAAGAAAGGTTGAGAATGAGTGACTCGGAGATCAGTGGGGATTCTATTTCAAATCCAATTTTTTTTCATGTAAAAGCACTTTATTCATGTCCATCCTTCCTTTCCC